GAAGAAGAATCCAATGGTGAAATAGAAGCAGCAGCAGCCACGGGCCGAGTGCACCTGCATAAAGGGAACACTCAGTGTCCCTCCTCCCCGGGTGTCCAGAGTTTGCCATTAGATGGAAGTGGAGCTGCAGGAAAAGATCGAGTCTCCTCACCCTTCGGTTCTGCCAGCTGGAAAAGGGTCAGCAGTAGTGAATCAGACTATTCTGATGCTGAAGGAGGCATGCAGAGTAAAATGAGGTAGTAGTTTTTTGTAATATTTTTATATTTTATATTCTTAGTTACTTGTAAGTTTACAACTTTAAAATCAGATTGCTACATGTGATTTCCTTGACAATTCAGATTCACTGATGTGGGGCTTTGCTTTACTCTGAATATGCCTTACTCCCTTGATCTGCTTTTGTTCATGTTCCTCTGCCTGGAATATTCTTTTCTTCACTTTTTTTGCCTTTCTACCTTGTTAACCACCAGTAGTCTTCAGTATGAGCTCAGTGATCATCTCTGAGAAGGCTTTTCTGACCTCCCCCTCCACTCCCCCACAGACACAACTTAGCATTGTTCGTAATGTGTTACAGTTATCTCTTTAACTGTCCGTCTCTGCCATTAATCAGCTTGTCAGGGGCAGGGGCTTTATTTATGTCTGCCAGTTGAACACAATGCCTGGTACATAAGTAAGGACACTCAGTACTTACTTGTTGAATGAGTGAGTGAATGGATGGATGGGTGGATGGATGGATGGATATTCTGCAGTGTCTCATATTTAACACCAGTTTCCTAATCTCAGGACGTTGCCCTCTTGTTGTCGTTAGGTGCTGATGAGTCAGTTCCAACTCAACATCCCATGTACAACAGAGTGAAACACTGCCCAGTTCTGCGCCATCTTCACAGTCATTATTATGCTTGAGCCCATTGTTGCAGCCACTGTGTCAGTCTATCTCGTTGAGGGTCTTCCTCTTTTTCGCTGACCCTCTACTTTACCAAGCATGATGTCCTCCTCCAGGGACTGATCCCTCCTGATAACATGTCCAGAGTATTGAGATGTAGTCTCGCCATCCTTACTTCTAAGGAGCATTCTGGCTGTACTTCTTCTAAGACAGATCTATTCGTTCTTTTGGCAGTCCGTGGTACATTCAGTATTCTTCACCAGTACCATAATTTAAAGGTGTCAATTCTTCTTGGGTCTTCCTTATACATTGCCAAGCTTTCGCGTGCATATGAGACGATTGAAAACACCATACATAGCTTGGGTGAGGCACACCTTAGTCCTTAGAGTGACGTCTTTGCTTTTGAACACTTTAAAGAGATCTTCTGTAGCAGATTTGCCCAATGCAATGCGTTGCTTGATTTCTCGATTGCTGTTTCCAAGGGTGTTGACTGTGGATCCAAGTAAAATGAAATCCTTGACAACTTCAGTCTGCTTTCTGTTTATCATGATGTTGCTTATTGGTCCGGTTGTGAGGATTTTTGTTTTCGTTACATTAAGATGTAATCCATACTGAAAGCTGTAGTCTTTGATTGCCCTCTTACTCTGTATCTAGTGTGTTGTTTGATTTTTCGTTTCATTAAGTTGTTATATAAGAAATTGCTTTAACATGCTTTGATCGTGTTTTTAAAAATACATTTTTTAATATCTCAACATCTTTAGGGCTTCTTCAGAATGTTCAATTTGTCAAGGTATCATTTGAATTGTCTGGAGTAAGTAGCATTTCATGTTTGCATTTTTTAAACCTATTTATTAAAGACTTGTTTCCTTCCTTCTCTTGCGTATTAAAGGTCTTACCAAGCCAAAGTTCACCAAGGAGCATTAGCTTGTTTTCTTTCTACTATAAAATCAATAGAAAAAAAAGTTCTTTATGGCTACTGGTCTGCCTTTGTTCCC